ACTGCCATCTGTTGAGTTTTGAGGGGTTTTAAGAGAAGTATGTCCATGATTATCAAAAAAAGTGATTCATATAATCCCTTTTCTAATTATGTATCTGTTTGAGGCCCGATTTTTTTCAATGCACTTGGACCAAAACAATGTATCATAGCACTGAATGCAGAAGCAGATATGAGAATCCAGCTATCCTCTCCTAAACCAGACTATGAAGATATAAATTATAACGATATGCAGTAATTTTTGAAAATATGGAACCTGGGATTTAGCTCAGTGGCACAGCCCTTGCCTGACAAGGGTGAGGTCCTGAATTCGATTCTTGGTACCTTGCCACCTCCACCAAAAAAAAAAAAAAAAGAAAAAGAAAATACAGTCATTTTCTATGAAAAATATGTTATTTACATTAACATGAATGAATTTATTATTATTAATTATTTAAAATAATTATTAATTATTAATGATTTTGTATATTCTTAAATGTTTCTGTTTTTTATTATTATTTTTGTTATATAAAAATATTTTTTGTTTTATATATGGCAACTATTAATAGGTATAACCCACATAAACAAATGTTTTTGGACAGAATTTTTCTAAATAAGTTTTTTAGACCATAGAAAAGTCATATGGTCAAGTTTTTGGGAACTAGTGGGTGACAGTTTTTAAAAGGTTACTAGTAAGGCTGGATTTGGTTTGGCTTAGAAATAACAAATCTCTCTCTCTTTCTGTCTGTCTGTCTGTCTCTTTCTTTTCTCTATTTCTCTTTGCTGCACGTTTTCTCCTTCCCTCCTCCTTTCCTTCTCCCTTTCTCCCTTCACTCTTGTTCTCACAGTACCTGTGCTCCCCCATTACAGCAGCTCCATTCTCAAACACCTTTACCTGGAAATTTTCTTCCTCCTCTGCTCCCCAACTACCCAGCCACAGCACCTGCCCCCACAGTGCTTCCTTTCCCACTCAAGTCCAGATCTCCACTCTGTAGACCCCTCAAGCTGGCCTCCCTCTTCCCCTGGCTCTGATCTTACCCAGGTCTCCCTTGCTAATCCCTCCTAGTTCTCCTGTGGACACACTCCCTGTTTCTCTAGAATGGGTGGAAGCTGTACACACTCTCCACTTCTCCTCAGTAGCTTCTTCTCAAAGTCTTTGCTGCTGGTGAGAGGTACTCAAGTTTGTGCTGAGAACCATCTTCATTGTTTCTGGGAGCCAAAGGACTTTAAGCCTACCCCTGGATCAACCTCTGGAAAAGAGGAGGAATGTTATAGCTATAGTGGAGAGAGTACAGTTTGGAGACAGGCAGGACAGGGTGAGAGCCCAGCTCTGTACACATTAGCACATGGCTTCCACTGAGTCCTTCCACCTCCTTGAACTTGAGATTCTATTTTATAAATTAGAGGACAGAGTTCTTAGGGTAAGTCTGCCAGAGAACATGTATGTGGCAGAGGAGTAATGGTCACGAAGATCTGCTATTGTCAGAAAGAAACATGGTGGCCATCAGTGGCTGTGGGTATTTACAAACTAGTGAATTACCTGTCTGGTTAATTGAAATTAAAATAAGCTGTCTTAGACTACTTGTTCTCAAACTTCTACGTACAGAAGAATCATTGGGGTGGTTTGTTGACTCTGAAAACATCCAGAAATCTGTTCTGTAGTCAGTATGTGTGGAGTCTGCACATCTATCAGTTTAAAGACCTCAGATACACACAAAACAATGTCTACAATGAAATTTTCCCAAACCTTACATTTCTGCATCATTCTACAAGACTGCCCAGTCCTCAAGACCTGTTGTGTTTGGTAGTGGTTACCAGTGTCTCACAAGTTGTTTGTGCATTATATTCATCAAATGGCCGATCTCAGAGCTTTGCCTAGTTAGCATCCGTACTAACCTGTAACACTCTGTCTCCCACTTTAGCACAACCTGATATTCAGGGGACTCCAGAGACCACAGACATATTATTTAAGATAATATGCAAAACGTCTGTGTCTTTTGTTTTTAAATTGAACATAGCCCTATTTTGTGAGACTATTGTGAGAATTATGTGGGCTTCATATGTGTATGGGTCTTCTACAAATTATATTTTTAATTATTTTCCTTTTTTTTTTTTTTTTTTTTGTCTTTTTCCTTTTTATCGGTACCGGGGATCGAACTCACAACTGCCTGCTTGCAAAGCAGGCGCTTATGCTGCTGAGCTAAATCCCCAGCCCCTAATTATTTTCCTGTGGAAAAGTCCATTAACCTCTCCATGAAAAGGGTCATTGTTCTCTGGGGCTTTCACTCATTTAAATCTACTCTAACTCCCTGCCACTCTGAGGATAGTAATGGTTTACGCTGGGCTGTGTAGACACCAGTGTATGGCTTTCTGCCCTTTCTTCTTCCTCCCATCCAGTCCTGACCAAGTGGCACCCCTGTCCCAGCATGGGCTTAACGCTTTGGAAGATCTTGGCTTTGTTTTTTCTTTTCTCTCTCCTTAATCCTTTGTTCTTGGTCCATGTACTTTGAGCTGGAGGATTCCTTAAATAATCTAAATTCTCTTTCACCTCACCTCACCACCTGGGAGTAAAATCAGGTCACAGGGTTCTGTGGGTTTGGCTCTTGGGATAAGAAAGTTCACATTTGGAAGCTTGTAGGTATCACCATCCCTCTCCTCCACCTGACCCTACTTCATGGCTTCTCCCATTCATCTCAGGAGTTGCCTGGAGGTGTCACAATGCTTTCATGAATCTCTTTGCTCTTCTCATCTGCTGGTTCCACTTCTTTCTCAGCTGTGTGCACTCTATCACTCTGTTTGGGCTGCCTCTTTCAGGGTAGTCACTGCCACATATTCTGGGTGACCATTTGTAAGCATCTAAAAATAGGCAGGGAAAGGTTCCTGTCTTCCTGCATGACTTCTTCACAGGATTTTGAAACAGATTTCCTGATCATGAGCTGTTACAGCTATTTCAGGCTTAGAAGTCCATGGCATCTTCTCTGCAGAGGGACCTGTAGATTACTAGAGTTGACTGAACTCAAGTAGTGTCATTCTTTACAGGCTAATTTTGTCCGTTGCTCAGGTCCACTCCAGACTGATTCATAATGGTGGGTCACTGGCAGCATCTTGAAGTTTCTCACTGTAAAATGACCTCTGTAAAGACCCTGCCAGTGTCACCAGTCATGTCTGTGTATGTTGGATTCCCACATTGTTTTCCAGGAACCATATTTGTTTTGCATAAGTCAGCCAGCACACATAGACCCTGGGGGTTGTTGGGTGCAGGGAGCCCAGAGTTTACTCTGAAATATACAGTTGTGCCAGTAACCATGGAAAGGTGTGCGACTCCTTCCCAGCACTTCACACAAGAAGCCCTTTTGGGTAGAATCAAATTAGAGTCTAATCTACTGGTAAGAATAATGACCTGCCTTGCCTATGTGAACAGATATATTTTTTTTTCTTTTCATCATTTATTCACATGGAAGATGGTGCCCCAGGGTAAACGTTGAAGTGGGTAAGGCACTTGAAGTGCCTTCTGCAGAAGGTGAAGGAGTAATCTGGAGGCACAGAAGCAGAAGGCCAGTGGTCAGGAGGAATCAAGACTGTTAGCTCCTGTAGGCAGACTGCTGAGTTTACTAGCAGACTATACCGTGTACTGTCATGATGTGCTGATGAGTCCAGTTGTATGGATATTGCATACAATAAGAGTGATATTGTAGAGGTAAGAGAAAGAGTGATGCTGTGGAGGTAGGGCAGGGGAGAAACTTTCCAGATTGGCTTAGGAGCTGGATACACTTGCATTCAGTCCTGCAAATGACTGCTTTAATCATATGGGGCGAGATACAGCAGAGGAGCCCTCTCCGGAAGAAGTGGATGCAGGATCATGTATTGTTCCCATCATCCCTCATCTCGTGCTCAGGGAGTGCTCCTTATGACAGTGCAGACAGCCCACATCCACTTTTGAGCCCATCTTGCAAGGGTGCCACCAGTAGCTGCACCAATGTTCATGCAAAGCATGAAGGGAGACGCTCAGGGGTCCCAGCAGAGCGAGAAGCAGCCTGGGTCAGAGAGTACTTTGGCTGGGAAACCTTGCTGAGAAAGAACAGACAGGATTCATAGAGGCAGTAAACGCCAAGAAAAGAGAAAAATGAAGAGCAATGACTGTGCGGTCCTAAGGCTAATTGGGCTGCCAGTAATAACGGAGAAGCTGGGAAGGAGCCCTGGTTAGGAAGGAAAGATAACAAGTTCTGTTTTGGATGACTTTCACTGCAGGGATTGGAAGGTCAACCAAATAGAGATCTTCCATTGACAGTGAGAAATATGGGTTGGGCTGGGGCAAGGGTCAGGGACCCAGACAAACCAAACAGGCATTGGATAATGGAAACAATGCTGGGCTAGGGAGGCCCTTCCTTGCCTATCTCAGAGATATTCACTGAGTGCCTACTGCGTACCAAGCATGCCCTGACACCTGGGAGCACTGCGAGGAATCACATAGAGATGGCACATTGAGTGTTTCATGTAGATGACCAGACTAAGTGTCACCAAGACACAAATGGGACCAGTGGAAGGAAAGTGCATTGAGGGAGAAGCCAGCCTGGGTTGCAGGAGGACAGGAGAGAAATGAAGAGGGTGATGGATCAGTTAGGGTCTGAGTGGACCTGCATGTAACAGAAAGACCGAACAGAGCGAAGGCCTATGAAGTTCTCACAAAGCAGTTTATGTGGAGGTGATAGCCCCCGACTTCAACTTCAGCAGGTTAACAAGGACTGAGATCAGGGGCTGCACGCACCTGCCTGCCTTGTGTGATCTGGGTGTCAATCACAGTCTCACTGCTTCCCAGCCCTAAACCCTGACTTTCTTCCTTCTCTGGTTTAAGGTTGTGTCTTCCACAGTGTGCTCCAGAGAGCTCTAAGGCACTGTGCAGATGCCTCAGAGGAGAATGTGGGGAATGATGCTGGGCAGGCCAAAGGGGCTGAACTTCAGCATGCTTGGCCACATTGGAACCAGAACACTTACATTATTTTTTGTTTGTTTGTTTCTGTTTTGCAGTGCTTGGAGTAGAACTGAGGCACTTGCCTGTACCAGGCAGGCATTCTACCATGAACTGAATTCCCAGGAATATTTCACCACTGAGCTACATCCCAAACAGTGTTGGTATGTATTGTTTATTATTTTATGTAGTTTAACCATCAATTGTTCCCTCTCTGAAGAGCCCCTAAAGTTACTCAAATTTTCTACAGTGAGTAGAGATTCACTTGCTGAGACCATGGCTGCTGGACAAGTGGTCTACTGAGCCACCTTTCTGGCTCAGTAGTGTGTGTGTGTGCATGTGTGAATGCTACACATGTGTCTCCAACCTGTGTGCTCTCACCTGTGTATCCCTCAGGGACCTGAACCCTTGCCTCTCTAAAGATCACTGCATTCTGCCATCACAGGGCATTTCCAGCCAATTCTGAACCTGGGATCTTCTCTGAGCTTCTGGTTTGAAAGCATAATGCCATGTCATCATCATTAGGACTTGCAGACGTGGGTATTTGAAGTAGGGAGAGAAGGAACATTAGAGGAGGCACAGATGCCAATTCATGGTCTCAGAAAGAAACCTTACTTGGAGGAATTACAGTCATATGACCATATACAGCCCTGTGTCTTTATTTTTATTTTATTAAACAAAATTCAAATTTTACAGCAAAGTAATGATAATAACAATACTTAACACACTGTGTATCATAATCTTAAAAGTAGTTACTCAAAATATAAGATATAGACAAAAAGACTCTCTCTTAACAAAGAAGAAGCAAACAGATAATAGCACAAAACTTTCTTTTCAATGAACCAAGTATGGAGATTCCTTGAAAAACCAAAAATGAAAATTCTGGGGAGAGATGTCTCAGCATCTCTTGGGAGGATGATCTTCTGTTTGAAGGTAAAGGTTGTTTTCACTGTTTTGTTTTGTTATGTTTCTTCTGCTCTATTCAGTATTCTCAATTGGTTTTATAATGTTCTATTTTTGGCTTGATTTTGCTATACCTAATTGACTGGACAACTATTGTGAAGTTAAAGAGATATATCATGGTACCTATTACTACTATCCCAGTATCCTACTGTGAAATCCTGTACCAGTTTCACTGCATTGTCTCGATTGGCTTTGTTCTGTCTTGTGCTGTTGCATTTTTACTACTTTCAAAACAAAATGTAAAAAAATGAAAATTCCATTTAACCCAGCTGTCCCTTTGCTAGGTATCAACCCAAAAGGAGTTAAGGGGATACACACATACCCATATTTATATTTATAGCAACACAATTTATAGTAGCCAGACCTTGGAAACAGCATATGAGTCCATCAACAGATAAGCAGATAAAAAGAATGTGGTATTTATACACAACAGAGTACCACACTGCCATAAGGAAAGATAATCTTGAAGCATTCTTAGGCAAATGGACATTTTTCGAGAGCACAATGTTAAGTGAAATAAGGCTGACACCCAACCTTCAATAGTGCATGGTTTTTCTTCTATAAGAAATTTTTAAAAACATATATACAAATAAAGAGCATTGATAAATAGGAAGGAGGGAGAAGTTCAAATAATCCCACAATTTACCTATTCTGTTTCCATTCTCCTAATTGGTGCAATCACTTTCCAAGAGCTGGGATGGACCCTCATGTTTGGAGGAAGTGTGAACCATGTGCTTAGCATGGTCCTAGGGATTTCCTACGATCATTTTGCCTGCTTATCGACCCTGTGAGGCACCAATTTTATGCTCATTTCATAGATGAGGAAACGTTGCTCTGTTTATAGATTAAGGCTGCTGTGAAAGCCAATGCAGAATGCAAAAGAAAAACACAGAAACCAAGAGGAGATGTCCACATTCTGGGTTGTCACCAATGGCTAACTTTGCATCTGAGCCATGAGACAATTTAGTACCCAGGGGAATTTGTTCTCCCTCTTTCTGCCCTTTGCTTTTTGACCAGGAGAATGAACTGGGAAGAGGGGGTGATGTGAGAAGGTCCAGCAGGATTTCTTCATGGTAAAGGGGTGAGATACAAGGGCTGTGTCTTAGTTACTCTTCTACCTGTGCAGAGATGAAATACCTTACACTATTTGTAGAGGTTTCAGTTTGTAGAGGTTTCAGTCCTGAACTGGCCTGGCTGCAAGGCAAAGGGTGGTGTGGCAGACAAGACTCAGAGAGAAGAAACACTGATGGCTGGCAGAAGGTAGCAAAGAAGGGAGGGAGATTTTAGCAGCTTTTATCTGCCTATTATATTCTCTCTAGGATACCAAGATTAGACTGTTGTCAAGCCAATCAGTGGATTGATTCAGTTATCACACATCCTTTATCCCAGCATCACACACTCCAAATTCAGGCATTTCTGAAAAAGTTCCACCTAAAACTGTATGAGGGTTTGAGGATTGAGACACAAATCATAACAGGCTGTTCTAGACACCTGCAGAGAAGCAGTCCAGAAAAATAGCCAGATTTGGGTTTGCATTGCAGACGTACTCTATGGTCTTTGGTTATCCAATCTATTGCAACCTTTGTTTTTCTTCTGTATAATGGGGTTCATTATTGGATCTATCTCATGAGATTGTGGTGAGAGATAAATAAGTGAGTACATAAAAAAATAGTGTTGCAGTATCTGTCACAGCGAAGACTAAATATAGAAACCAAGAGGAGCTGTCCACATGCCTGGGTTGTCACCAGTGACTAACTTTGCATCTGAGCCATGGGACAATTTAGTATCCAGTCCCAGTATGGAGACTGCCCCGGGGCACTGAGATGGACCACTGACCTGACCTGAGTCTGGTAGGAAGGAAGTATGTGATGGCGGGGTGACTTTGCGTGGTCACAGAGCTTCCAGCAGTTTGATCATTGCACTGGCCCCATGGGCCAGGATGGAGACACTGGTGACTTAACCATTAAGGGGAGGGATGCTGAGCAGAGGAAACACAGACAATCAGAGGGGAAAATTATGTCTGGTCTTCACTTTCACTTGGGGTCAGTCCATTTTTTTTTAAAGACAGTGGACCTGGCAATAGAGATGAGCAGGATTATGGAGATGAAAAGGGAGAGAAATCAGGCAATAACACATAAAACAATGTGTTAAGGAATAAAACCCAGTGGTAGGATTTAATGGAGAAGTCAAGAGATCTAGAAAAGAACACCAAAAAAAAAATGTAGCCCGTGCATACGCAATATCTATAATCATAGGAGTCTTTTGAAATAACCCTCTTTTCCTTTTTGATGCAAAGGAGCCTGTAAGAGAATTGGTTCTCACATCCTTAAGGCAAACCTTGAGCTCTGCCTCTCTTCCTACCATGCATCCCTGGTTCAACCCCTCCCTTCCCCAACTCTCAGGACCAATGCTAGGGCTCCCAGATAGCACCTCTCACCTTCATGGGGTGCATAATCCACACACAGACTAAGCTCAAAGAGCACCTGTGTAAGGGGTTGTGATTTGGTTCAATGTATTAACATTTGCCACTTTTATTTTCTCTTCTTCTAACCTGGGTGATTCCGCTATATTTAAACAAATATAGCAAGGTAAAGCAACAACCTTCATAAACAGTATATTCTCAGTATCTTGAGTCTCTTTGGTCTCTGGGTTTAGATGAAGGCACTTGAATTGTGAATTCAATTTTGCTATCTTTGAGCTTCTACCTGCTCATCAGTTTCTTCCTGTGCTCTCTCCAGACATTTTTGGACTACCCAGGAGGTGGATGTTGGAGAATTTTTATTCTAGACTACCATTTGGTGCTGGCTTCTGTTGTTTTGCCTATCACTTCCTCTACTAAGAGACCTTACTCTTCATGCTGCTACCAGGAACTCTGCTCTCTGAAGTAAGTGCCAGCTGGCTTGACAACTGACTTCAGAAACAAGCTTATTGTACCCACTGTGTTCTATTGGAGAGACTCTCAAACAAGGCTTGCCTGTACCTCAATTAGTCCAAATTTAGTACCAAACAAACAAAAAACCCCAAACACTTCTTCCTATTTGCAAATACATGGACCAATTACTCTCTTTGTACCTTCAGGATAGCTGACTTGGGCTAAGCCTGTAATGTAACACAAATCCTGCACCTAGAACCACAGTGACCTCTAAGCCTCTAAGCTTCTTCCCTGCTGCTGAGTGTGGCTCATTTTGAAAGACTTTCTCCCTTATGGTGAATTAACCTACAGCTCCCTGTCATTATTGTCTGCAAATAGACTTCTATGAGGAAGCACCACATAGTGCATCAACCAAATCTGTTTATGTGCCAACTCCAGCAGATGCAGTTAACGATCCTGCTGGGAGGCACTGAGGTTCTGCCATAGTCCAGCATGCAGAGAGATCTTTGAGACCGAGCAATTTTCCAGGTCTGTCTACCAGACTATATTTCAGGTTCTTCTCTGGTCCAGCTAGGACACCTTATTATTCCATTTACCAGTTTTATGAGACAGACATCTCAGTCCAGAACTTTCCTGAAATCTGCTGAGAACTGAAACTAGATACGGTTTTATTGAACGTGTCCCGATGCTATCATGAATTCTAGGACTCTAAAAGCTCTAAAGGCTAAATAAATCACATCTCCAGGACAAGGCATGCTCCCAATTTCCTGTCCCATGTCATTTGATCAGCAAAGATCTTCAGTATACTTGGAAACTGTTACCTTGTTTTCTTTCATGCAACAGGGATGCCAGACATACAGGAAAGAAAGATGTCTTAATATTCACCGATTATGATGCTTGGTAACCGCCACCATGTACGAGTCTGCTTAGAGCAGAGTGGGAGTTCCAGAGAAAAGCAGACATTCCTTTCTTTCAGACCCATGGAGATTTCTGCAAAGCCTTCTTCTTGGTCACTTATTACCTGTGGGCCAGGCAGTAAGATGTGCTTCATGGGATCTCCTCAGACCAATAACAACCCCCACTTCCCTGGCATTTCTTCTCTTTTCTTTCCTTCCTTTCCCTCTGTTTCTCTTTTTCTTTCTTTCTTTCTCTTTCCTTTGTTTGTTTCCTTCCCTATTAATTTCTTACTATATGCCTCACACTCCGCTGGGATCAAAGAGATGAGGGATGGGTAAGAACTGTCCTTGCAATTGAAGGGCAAGCGCATTACACAGTGGGGAAGGCAGATGTGTACACAATTAACTATATTAAAATATGGTGAGCGATATAATGGAGATCTGCCCAAAGTGTCATGGGAGTGCAGAGGAGGGAGCAAAGGAGCTGCCTTAGAGGTCATCAGGAAAAGCTCTACTGAGAAGATGATTTCTGAGTTGCCTTTGAAGAGTGAACAGAAATTTTCCAGGTGAACAAAGATGGGAAGGACATTCCAGGCAGGGCAACAGTGAGTACAGGACATGGCAGGGAGTCTGCTTTGGCCAGAGTATAGAGCGAGGTTCACAGGGATATTTTGAAAGGTAAACTAGGATTGGGACCGGATGGGCTATGAATGTCATGATTAGGTGTAGATATTTTGTTTATGATGGAGACCTGTGTGCAGAATCACTCTTTGGGCAACATTTCTTTGCTGGCAAGGCTAGCAAAGAAATGATACTGAGTTTGCATTGTGCAAATGTGTATATGTAGTGTTTAATCAACCAGTTGATTACGTTTTTTTTTTTTTTTTTTTTTTTTTTTAGTTAACAACCAGTGTGTATGTCAGGGCCTGTGTTGGTTACAGTGATACTGTATCACAGGCATCATAATTCATGTAGTGAGGAGTTCAGAGTCATTCACATTAGAGAAATCTGGGGTTGGAAGGAGGGATTGGATGGTTGTGAGTTAAGGTGGGAGACAGCAGAGAAGCCTGATTTGACTTCTTGGGGGAGGGCTCTGAGGAATCACTGAGGAGCCGTCCTCCACAGGGAAGGCTCACAAGGAGTCTTGCATTGAGCACGTGTGGAATCTGGCCTGCCTAGACATGCACTGATACATTGAGAAACAAGATCAATGCAGAGATGAGATCAGAAGCAGAGGGTCTTGAAGTCAGGTGCAGCATCACAGGACTCCAAAGTGGGAAGGAACTTTAAATGCCTCTGAGGAAAGCTCACCCTGCCTCGTAAGCCCTACGTGAGAGTGTGTTCTACAATATCCATACACACAATCATCAATTTTTTTATTGGAACATAGAGATGGTAGCGGTCATTTTCGTATGAGATGCCTTGGCCTGTAGGAAGTTTCTGATAGGTTCTAGTTTATGTTTTTGTGTGTGTGTCTCTTGGTTCTGGATGGATTTTACCATGTCAGTCATCATTTCTCCCCTTCTGCTGCCAAACCACACTTCTAGTTTTTAAATTAAGCTCTGCAAATATTTAACTTCCTTTTTTTTTTTCCAGGTTGGCAACTTTCAGTTTCTCCAACTACTGAAGGAGGCTGTTGGCCTTGGGTTTCCTTCTAACAATGGCCGCTGTTTGAAGACACTGCTCAGGGGCTCGATTCTCCTTTGAAGTGGGATCTGCTCAAGGTCGTGCAGTCTGGACACAGTTGAGTAGGTGAGGACCAGCCACAGTGAAACAACCTGTCGGAAGTGGTCTCTTGTGAAAAAGAAGCAGGTCTCAGGGTACAGGATGGATTGTGAGAATTTCACAAGGCAGTGAAAGTTGGAGAGTTGCTGGCGAAAGTCCAGGACTTAGATCTGCATCAGAGGGACTCAGGGTCAGCAGTGAGTGGGAAGGAATGAGACCAGGAGCCATGTCACCACTTTGATAAAAGAGAAAGACAGTAATGAGTCTAAATTTTCTGATGTGAGAGCCTGAAAAAAATGATAATTGCATGGGCAGAAATAAGGTGATGGGGAAAGGCAGCTGTAGGGTATGAGGCTGAATTTGTCACGAGCAGGGCTCTGGCTCTGGAATGGTGAAAGGCAGGGAGCCTAGAGGGCATGAAAATACACAGAGAAGGCACAGACCGTCAAGGAAGGCTCCTGGGGAAGGTTTACAGTGTGTAGACTGGAAACCAAAGAGACTCTTGAGGGAGACAAGCAACTGCTGCCTTCATAAAGCAGCAGTATGAAGGATGTTCAGGGAATGGAAGCTTCCAGAAAGACTGGTTCAGTGACACACAGTGTTTAGGTAGACAAAGAAAACAAGGTCACTGGATGGGCCAATGGGGAGATCAGTTCAGTACCTCGGTGGAAACCATGGCGACACTGGAGGATGTTTAGAAGGGACTGTGTAATCTAGAAACCCCTCCCCACACCCTACACCCTACACCCCACACCTCAAATGCCACACCCCACCCCAAGAGGGCTGCAGTTATCCTCTCATTGCCCTTCTACTTTCGCTCCCTATTCTCCAGTGGCAGAGCTGGCCAATCAGAGGCAGTGCTCTTCTTGGTGGCATAGCTGGATCACCTTCCCAGTGGGGAAGCTGGGTCCCTCTCTGCAAGGAACAGCTCCTGAGGGTGGCTGAGAGATTCTGGCAGCCCACCCTGCTGTGAGGGGAGAGTGAGCAGAGGGTTGGCCTGCCTGGCCCATGCAGGAGGCTGAGGGTGCCCCTCTGGCCCTGCAGCTTCACAGGTCCCTGGATAGGCAGCTGAAAGCCCACATCTATTATCCTTGACATCTGAGTGCTGTGGTTCCAGGAGGCAGAGGGTGAGCGTGGCGAATATCCGCCTCTATCTCTTCCTGGCCTGCCCTTTCCTGTGCTTGGGCTGTCCAACTCACCAGCCTCCTTCCCACTCACCCCTGCATCCCTCCCTTCTGACAACTTCCTCCTACTTCCTAGAGCCCAGTGCTCATCTCACTGTGTGTGCATCAGCTTTTCACAGTTTAGGAGTTCCAGGTGAAAACAAGGGCAAATGTCTGTAGATGTGAAAGGGCTATTTCCAGGCTTTCTCTGCAGGGACTCCAGAATTCTAGCCACAACTAGGCAGGTCCTGCCACCCCGGCTCTTCCCAGGATGCACTGGGAGCCTGGGAACTAGGAGGGAGGGAGGAGGCTCAGCTGAGGAGCTCAGGATTTAATTCTATGCATCATTAAGTAGTCCTCTGAAAGTAGTGTCCCCCTATACATCATCCATGCTTAGTAAACAGCACGCTGACATTACATTAGCGGCTGGAAATGAATTTTCTCTTTTATAGGGAAATTGAGAATCCGCCAAGAAGAAAGAAAGAAAGAAGAAAAAAAAAAACCCTCAAAACCAATTATCTAGGCATTTATGAGTTCCACCCTGGTCCCTCTCTCTTCTCTCACTCAGATGCAAAGAAGCATTTAATATTTAATATATTAAGAAAAGAAAGAAACTTTGATAGATTATGTGGAATCTGGCATTAATTCCCTCTGCCCCTCCTTACTTCCAAACCCATGCTTGGTTCTAGCTGACATTTAAATGGATTAAGGTGTTCAGATTTCCTTAGTAGTGTTGACATTTTGGAAATATTTCTGGCTTTTTTTCTGTTCTCAGAATAATAATAATAAATAAATATCTGAATGAATCCTCCACCTCCACTCGACAGGCAGGCTCCAGCTCCGCCACCCTTTCTGGTATTGGCAGGATTTACATTTTCCAATCTTATTTACAAGATTAAGGATGAAGAGAAGTCAAAGTCCTCCTTGGCGGTCTGTGGGGCTGAGTGTGGGAGCTGTGTGCCACTGAGTCAGAAGGAATTGCCCTGGTCACCAGGTTCTTCCCCAGGCCAGCATCTCCTTTCCTTTGTCCCCTTACCTCTGTCTGCCTGTCTGGCCCTGTTATCTGCTTCTTTCCTTGGTACTTTCTTCTTATAACTGGACTGCCCTTTCTCTGAGCAGTGTGGACTGGCCCACTGGCCTCACAGGCCAGACAGATGCGTACAGGTCCCTCCCCTTTGGGGAACAAAAGAAGAAGGAAATGGGGCGCCCCTTTTTCTTAGGGAGCAGCGTTTCCGGCACTGCAATGTGATACATTCTCACAAGATCTAGATGCCAAGCTCCTGAGTGTGGGCGGGCCCATGTCATTTGTATCTCTCTATCTCAGCGCCTAGCACAATGCTTGGTACAGGGAAATGATGTCAGTGATGCAGAAGAGAGAAGACAGGGAGGAAAGAAAGGAAGGCTGAAGAAAGGAAGAGAGGAAGGAAGGAAGGAGGGAGGGAGGGAGGGAAGGAAGGAGGGAGGGAGGGAGGGCAAGGCTACAGTGAAAGAGCTCAAAGCTCAAAATATAAGAAGTATCTGCTCAAAGGTTTAGAAGGATAAATTAAAAATAAAAGTCATATAAGAATCTAAAATCAATATATAAATACTGAATTAAGAATTAAAATTATTTCTATTTCCTTGATTGGTTAGAATTTTTTTCCACTGAATATGTTTGCATTTGATCTGGTTTAGTATCTTTTCTGAATTGTTCTTATCTTTGGGCTTGAAAAGAAATGTTGTAAGCTTGTCAGTGCAAATTTACTGTAATTGTATCTTATTTTATTTTATTTTTACAAATAAAGATGTTTTGCAAAACAACAACAAAAACAACAAAAAAGGTAGAAAGGAACAAGGGGTGGGAAAGAAGAGGAAAAGTAAAGAAGAAAGTCTCCAGAAGTTGAAGTCTCCATTGGTTAACGGTTTCACAGCCCTGCTGCCCTATGTGGCTTCCAATAAAATTCCATCAGCTCACATGCTGAATTGTCTGGTGTCCAGCTCCGTGCTGATGCCTGCCCACTAATTCTCTGTGTTTATGTTTACTCTCCTTGTAGGCAGAAATAACTGACAATGCTTACCTAGAGCTGCTGTTCCTTAGAGAGGACTCTAAAAATATCAACTAGGAGGAGATTAAATCAAATAATCCTGGAGAATAATCACATGGATGTGCTATATGATCCCTCCAAGTCTTGGTTTTCTCCTATAGAAAACAGAAAGTATAGTAAGTGAAATAAGTTGTACATGGAGAGTTAAATATCACACATGTTGTCTTATAAGAAATCTGCAATATAAATAAATTAAACAAATGAATTAGTATCATAAAGGAGACATGGCAAGAGGAAATGAGAAGGAAGGATTTTAGAAATGGGAAGGAAACAATGCAGGTAGAAAGGAAGAGTAAATTTATCAAAAAATGATCCCAATATATTATATGAATTAATCAGTTCCTCCAAAATGAGCATAACTGTTATTCATTGTAAATGTGCTCTAATAAAGCAGTATCAGCAGATACTATTAGAAATATGATGAAGATAGTGCACGTTGGCTACTTCAGTTAGGGCTTGCATATAATGTGGGGTCAACAAGTTGGAACTGCTTTGTTGTAATGCTAGGTACTGTTTGGGTGCTGGATGTTTTATCACTCATCAGGCCCAACTAGCCAAGATTTGGTAATAACCCTAACAGGAAGAAGAAAATAAGTCATCTGAGTCAACTATGTGTTCTAACCTAATTGCTTCCCCAAGTTCTATGCTTAACATTTGGATACAAGAAAGTGTGTATGGTATAAACAAAACTAAAGAATTTGCAATAATTTTAGTTTCCAGCCATTTCTACTAGAAGAATTTCAACAAAGTTTGGGAACCAGACCAGACAGTAGTGCATGAACAATGTGGCCTGAGAGATGAGAACCTTCATTAATTGAAGCATTTGCATTTGCGTGTGACCTCCCCACCCTCCACACTTGCCTGCCTGTGCTCCTGTACTTTCACTGGGCCTTTTTGCTTTGTACCCTTCCAGGGTGCATCCATGTGAATGCTTCTTATAGCTAAATACCAAAAAAATAATTTTCATTTGGAATGTTGCATTTTTACAAACCTGACTTTTATTTCATCTTCCAAAGACCTCGCAGCTCAAACTTTATGGAGCCACTTTCTGCCTGAGTTGTGTGTGGCCCGCAAGGTATCTCACGAGCACCAGGGCTTGGCTTAGCACAGGACTCAGCAAGACTTCAGGGCTTAATTTAAATTGCTTTTTTATATCTTAACCATAATCAGCCTAGAGCCTACTTTGTATTTTCACCCTTTCTTCTGATTTTGAGATTCCCATTCTGCTAATCTATTAATTCTGTGTTTTGAGTCATTGACTTTAGATTCAGTACCTTCATGGTCTGTATTGCAGCGTCTGTTAGTTTCAAAAGAGTTATGCATTGTCTAGCACACATGATCTGCCAAGTGCTATAATAGGTGCAGGATTAGCTGATGAATAAGGCACATTTCCCTTCATTGAGTTTATAGCCTAGAAGGTGCTGGAAGAACATTAAACTCACAAACCAGTAGACATTCTCCACAGACAAAGTGCATTCAAAGGATTGCCTTGGCATTGTTTGGCAAACAGGGTTCAGGACCGCGTTGGAGAAATCCAGAAAGAAGAGGCCATTCTGCAGACAGACTGGGCGTGGGTGGGAGAGTGTCATGCAGGATTAACATACACATACTCTTCTTTCCATTTCAGAAAGAAGGATTTACTTAGATTTATGCTAAATTGCATGACCCTAATTTTATCTGATTGAGTGCAATCAGGAGACAGGAGGAGCATCCTGGTCATGAACCCCACATCATAGCCTTATTTGGTTCTCTCAGTTGCTGAGGGCTTCTATTAAACACT